GGACCCGTTTTTTGGACAAAAGCTGCTTGTGAGAGTTGGTGACGGTTCTTATTATGCAAATGACATCCATTCTTGACATTGTTGCCATTTTGCGCAAATTCTGAACGCCAACCCGAAATGCAAAATATTTGTCATCGCAAGGAATCGAACCACGGACCCCTTCATCACTCCTTTTCTAGTATTCAGAGAGCCATTTAGGAAAAATAAACCATGGATTTGTGGTTCTTGCATGTGTTCCTATATCATGCAAAAACCTGCTAAATGGCTAGAGGCTCACTCAGATGGCGAAAGGGTGGACGTGCCGCGGCGCTAGCGGCGCGGAACGTCCATTGTAGAACGCTGGTGGCAAAACCTTTGCTGAGAATGGTGTGTCACTTCGTTTTCTTTGGGGATTCACCTGTCTCTCCATTAGGCACTTTTCCCTTCTTCGACCGACCTTCGACGTCATCCAGTTTTAGTTGCTTCTGTTCGAGCCTACGAGATTGGGATAAACCTTCCAGCTTACGTTTCGGCGCACTCTCCTTATTCGGTGCCCTTAGAAATGATCTAACTGATATCGTAGACTGTATAATCATGCCGAGATTTTTGAAGATTCGTTCTTAGACTATTCTAACGTCATCGTTTCTCCTTCAATATTAGCTTGATGAGCTCAGAAGCTTTCATGTATCCATAGATTCAGTAGGTTTCTGAGAGCAAAAAGCTTCCTACGCTACCATGGTGACGTTTTTCCATAGGTCTATGGCTTCAGCTACGAATATTGAATATGGGTTTCTGTAGCTGAATGTAGAGTTCAAGAGAATGTAGAGTGTTCGGCTACGGCAACTCATTGAAACCGTTTAAAGCATAAAAACTGTCTAACAAGCAATTTGGAATTTTTCCTAAGATCAGGGAGGTTCAGAGACTGATGACTTTCCAGTCGGCCACTCCTCTAGAGCGCACCAGGTGAGCGCGAGATTGCTCAAACGAAAGGGTCGTATCTCTGATTTGGAAAACTCGTATTCAGTGTTTTATAGAGCATCGCGGTATGGAAGAATTATGCTCACATGGATGGAGAAATTTGAAATCTGGTGCTTGAGTACCTGCACACCCCTCTCGAATTCAACCTTGGGAGTGGAGACGGAGGGTGTCATGCGGTGGCGGGTTCAAAACAGTGAAGATTGCTTAGGGATCGTATGTGGACAACGGGTGCCCAGACAAGAGGTCCGTCGAGTGGCAACGAGGCAGTGTCAGTGTACGAGTGGTGTGCAGTGTGGGACGTACAATGGTACATTTTATTTGACGCACAATCACACAGTCCGCGCTGCGACTCGTCCGCTGACTCTGCTTTTTTTGTCGCGCGACGGGCCTCTTGTCGGGTAATCGTGGAGTGGACTATGTAAGGGGGTGTTACGAAAATTTGAGATGGACACAGTGTGGCAGCCGGTCCTTCGTCCTCACGATGCTCTGATTTCGGCTATGCTATGGGCCTCACCGGATCCGCCACTTCAAAGACTGCACCGCGGTGTGACGTTATGCCAGCAGTAAATCTGAGACTTAGAGAATTCGCGAAAGGTCTACACGTAGCAGGTGGCAGCTCTCTCCATCCCAGGTGGTGAGAGACCTGGTGTACACTATCGTTCATCAGTTTCTTGACCTGTACCGATAAATCAAATCCACGAACATTACTTGCAGAGCCGAAAAAAAATAGTAAAAAATGACTCGCTGAATAGACAGCCCCTCTATCTCTTGATCCAAGAGCTACAGCAACTTGCGCAAGTTCTTTGTCTTCTCAAACAAACCATCCTCACATTTCAGGTTATCACTATACCATTGTTCGCTGACCAGTTACGTAACGCTCGGATGATGCAATACCGCGGAATGGGCGTCGTAATCGATAAAGATGACGTCACGACTAATCGGTTGATTTCAGCCATAGACGAGATTCTGCAACCACGGTAAACATCATTAAACTGGTCTGGGTTGGAAATTGGCGGCAGGCTATCGCGGATCAATCGCAAACTCTTTGTTTAAATTTTTCTATTGTCCTGAGGGGGGGGGGGAAATGCATGATCAATTTGATGGATTTTCGGGAAAAGGGATCTAAATGGTCGAAAAAAATTTTTCAACTTGTAGGAACTCATAATCAACTGCTCCGAACCCATTTACATCATGAAATAACTGACGTCACCGGCACGCGCTCGCATCCGCGACGCAAGTGAGCTTTTCTCTGCCCTCGATAGCGCGGCACAGCAGTGGTCAAGGAACGCGTGAGTTCAGACGGAAAAGCACATACTTTGCACCTTGCTAGAACTAGGCCTTTTGAAAAGAAGGGAAGAAAGCAGCGATAATGTAATGGTGCGCGACGCGAACGGTGTCTGAGAGTCCACTAACAAATTGTGTATCCCGACTGATATCGCTGGCCCTTTGACGAATTATTCACAAGTACCTCCACGTTGCCAGTACGCCGCTCAAACTCGTCAAGTATATATAGAATAACCTCATGAAATATGCTCTCTGAAACGTAATTAGTCGGGTGCCTACAATCTGTAATCGTGGCGCAATTTCTAAATGGAGGGAAAATATACAAATATATAAATTATCATAGTAATATCTTAATACCTAGATGTATATATGAGAGTTTAGAGCGCTTTTAATTTTTTCTGGAACGTCTATCTAACCAACACTCTGTCTCGAATCCTTTTGATTCAATTCAATATCATACATATATAAATATATAGTATATATATATATATATATATTTTAGAGCTGCTTTTTTAATTTTTTTCTGGAACGCTATCTATAAGCTGTTCCGAATATCGCTTTTGTTGTAATTCGAATATTCAAGATGACCAGAGAAAAGCCTTTAAATAGGCCATATTTCTGAAATCGTGTGCCTCGAATACGTAATTTTCTCCCGACGTCCATTAGTGGAAAATGGCCAATATAAACTTTTATGGGTTTCCATGCAATAACGTTATCGATTAGCGGGTTTTAGTTTTTTTTTATTTAATTCGTCCTCGTTAACTTTCATATGGTAGCAAGTAGTGTTAATTGTTGCAAAAAAAGTGCGCTGGAGTATGAAACATCTAAATTAAGAAAGAAAATACTTTTGCAAACGAAATGACTAAAATGGTTCGTTTCGCTCCTTCCTCAGACGCCTATGCACCCTTGCCGAAACTCGAGCTTCAGCGATGAGCAACTGGACGTTGCAGCATGGTGACAACAAGAATTGTCCAAATACGACCCCCCCCTCTCACACCCTCCTTCCATTATCGCGGCTTCTAGCTCCAACTCTACGCTTCTTCCCTTGATTTCTTTTGACAACCACCACAAATAGGCGAGATTTCCCGTAAAGCTCTAGATGTATACACCATATGGATCAACTCGAAGGAACTAAAAGAGAGCAATTTTTGAAACACATGAAATTCCTCAAAATCTGGATTCGCAGACCGCTTTCAAAAACACCCTTCCCAACACTTACCATCAAATCAATCAGAAACAACACTGACCTATGTTGAGAATCCCCACCATATATCCGTATTATATTTATTAGGTACCCTAAGTTTTATCACGATTTGCAAGTCCCAGCCTAAAAGTACACATAAAGTTGCTGAGGCGAAAAATCGACATCTCATTGAGTCTGTTGATGGGAGAAGAATGACATGGAAGTTTTTCATCGTCATTTTGAGATATTCGAAGGCTGCTCGACGCCTCAGTGAACAACTGCAAAACAAGCCTTTCACCCCCGAAGATGTTCTCGTTCGTCACGTCGAATATGCCGTACGTTTCAATATCACATCCAGTCTCAATAACGTCTCAACACAACAGTCTATCATTCAGTACTACATGCTTGACGTCATTGTCCCATTCCTAGTAATAACTTCTATGATTGTACTAGTTCTATGTAGAATTACTTTCGTTATGATTTGTTTCGCTATGCGATTATTGCTGACCCCGTTCAGAAATATGAAAGCTAAACAGCACTAGGTACTGATATACTTTGAACTTGAAATGTGTTTTCACGATTTCCATGGTCCAGACAGCTGCAATATGTGCCTTTTTCCTGCGGCAGCGACCTGTCATAATTGCTGACTTCAATGTTGATGAAATGATGTTGATTCACCTGAGGAAAATGCTGGGAGAACCATGCTTCTCTTCTTTTAGTGTTCTCCTAGCTTATTTACACGTTGACGACAACGCGCGTTTTGGAGCATTTTGGCCGCGATGGACAGGTGCGATTTTGCTAGCGCGGCGGCCGCGGGACACATGCGTCCTGCGCTGTCTCTCAAGGCGCGTTTTTTGGAGCTTGATATCGTAAAGGGCCGTCAGTTGATGTTTAATATAAGCACGTAAAAAAGTAAATTTGTTCAGCGAAAACCCACATGAACAAAGACTTTCTGAGACGAAAAAAAGCAAAAAAAAAATTAAATGTTAGAGAGTGTTACTACTTTCCCAATCCGCGGAACATACCGGCAGACCAACAGCTCCAAAAGATTACATGTGATATTGATTTTTACGGAAAGTGTGATACTAGGACTGCAATTACGACAGGTCTGGTTGTCCGCAACAATGTATGCACTGACCACTGTTTAGTATTCAAGTGCTCCCCGTAAGTTACTTAATTTTTGATTTTGTCACATCCCACAGTTTACTTGGATGCAGCATTTGAGTTTTCATCTTTTGGCAGAGAAAACGGAGTAAGTGAAATGCATTTCTCGGTTCCGATTAGCGCATTCTCTGGTTTCCCAGCTGGTTTTACTCGGCCAACAACTCAAAAATATGCTGAAAAGCATAGAGGTTTTCCAGGATTCGCTTAATTATATTTGTTAGTATCTAATAATTCATTTAGACAATTGTTCTCGTACATTCACGTTTACATCACGAGAACTTTGAGTTTCTGGAGGAGGTCTTGACACTTTCTCTGTAACGTCATTTTGTTGTCGCACGAATTTTAAGCAAAAAGTTGCATTTATTGAATCAAAACGTGACTGGTAACGAACCTGATTGAATGTGTTGTATTTTCTTGGGAATAAATCTTTTTCTGAACTTCGAAACTTTGCAGCCTTCACACTAGGTTAGTTACAGCAGTGTTATAGGCCGATAAGCTAGGGCCAGCGGTATCGCAGCAACAAAATGACGCAATGACACAGGACTAATTGTTCAACAATATACTTGGAGCCTTGCAACCACGCATATCCGTTCAGCCAACCATGACGTTCACAAGTACCTCATTCAAACACCATTGCGATGCCGAATTTGTGTCGAATGCACGGCGCGCGTGGGAATGAGGCATGCATACCATTCGATCCCTTATCCCTAATTCTTTGTAGTTTATATCTATTGAAAAACCGCCACGAAATTTCGTCTATGTTTAACTAGCCCAGAAGCCTTGGAATATGGCCTGCTTTGTGGTTGCCTGAGGAAGCCAGATGACATTCAGTCACGTGTCTGCAACCGTTTTTAACGTGTGTGCATTCTCATCCTTCTGGACCCTTTTTAGCATAGGCGTTGTCCCTTTACGGAAGACATACTGACTGCATTTCTCCCGTCGCCGCTATCAGTGCCCATCATCGTATTGTTGTCGAAATTGCTATAATCAGCGATTGATAAGCCGCAACGAGTGGCGTTCGTGACGTCTTAAGAACTTAATCAAAGATTGAATCCGAAGAAGGGTTTATTACATTCAGTACAGCCTACCCATACGAGATAATTCGCCTAAATTGAGGTAATGTAGAGGCTCCATTTTTTTGCTTTACGTCTTCGTCCGCTGTCATCAGTGGAGTGACATCTGTGCGTCGAGGCTCCATGTGGGATTAGCTGAGTTGACAGCTGAGAAACCTAGTCATACGGTAAAAAGCATTACTAGAAGGGCATGCCAAGTGTGACTCCTTCAAAGGCTTCAGCTTGAACGAAAACGAGACATATTATTAATAAACAGACTGCTTGGTGTCCTGGCAGCCGCTTTTTAGCAGCCGCTTTCTTAGAAAACAATTAGAAAGCTTTGAAAAACAGCAGTAAACGAAACTGGAAAAACCAAAAACTACTCTCAGAATTTTAGTTCTTACATGGCTTATGTTAAACCAACTGTCTGAATGCTTCTTCACAAAAGTCTTTGACTTTATTGGCCAAAAGGTCTCAAATTTCTAAGGAAAACTTTCCACTAGTGAAAGTGGGTAGTTCGATTCATTTTTTTTCAGGTGATAGTGAAAAGCACGAATAAAGTAACAATGGATTCTGAGACCAGAATTCAAGCAGACACTTTTTCCTGTAGATTGGAGTAATAAAGAAGAACTCCCCTGAACCCCACTCGACCAGCTGTCTGCGACGAACTTACATATTGTTCGAGATTCTTCAGCCGAATGTTCGATCCTAAAAAGACGACATGGGAGCTTAAATTCAGCCTTGCCGTGGAGTTTTGCATCGTATCGGATTCCTGCTTGGGAACGTTTGGATCGAATTTCTTGAGACATGACAAAAAACTTCGTCTATGTTTTTTTCCATAATAATGACGAAGAGGCGAGCTCCGTTCAACGACGTCTTATGGCCGTGGAAACGACTTATTGACTTGCACCCTGCACATTTGTGGGCTTACGATGACAAATTTGGAAATTCTTCAAATCGATTGAGTCACTTCGTGATGACTAAGCCGATTGTACGTCACTGAAGTGATATGTGTTACGATCACTGCCCGAAATAGTTCCCGATCATCGGATTGTGACAGATCTTTGACCTGTGAAAAGGCAGACATAACCTTTTGCAATAGAGCTCTATAACCTTTTCTGTATAATTCACTCTACGTATATAGATAAATTATGCACATTGCCGTGACATGAAAACGACTTTATAACCGGTACAGCGGTGGTTTTTCATAGTAATAGGTCCTAACAACTCAGGTTATGGCGATTAGATCTAGTCTACTATGACACAACTTTGTCACCATTTCAAAGTAAATGCAGCAGAGCTATATCGACAGCGTCTCCCGAGTTAGAAGTGGCCAGAAGTTGGAACACCTTCAGAAGATCGTGACGGGTTTTTTGGCCATGTGCAATGGCATCTTTACCTTTCCTAAGGAGCTTGGAGTAGCAGGGTGTGCTGCCAAATTTCTCTATTGGCGCTTTTCTATTTCCTGTTAAGTGCTTGCTTGATTTCCGTTCCGGAACCAACTTTACTTTCAATGAAGGTCTGACTTTTTACCTCAATATATGCGTTTTGAGAATGTGGTCACACTCGGAGCATAGTTGTCAGTGCTTTTCGGAAATAGCTGTGACAACCAATAGCTATTCTAGCTTCGCTTGTTATTCCTTATGAATTCCACTGACTTTGAAGTGCAGGTAAACTCAACAGACACCATTGTGCCTGTTCAGTTCATACTGCTATTGAGACACCGGTGACCCTGGTTTTTGAAGAAGTTTCCGGATATTTCAAGCCAACTTGTTGAAGGAGTAGTATGCAGGTCATGCTGGTAGATTGGCGAGGTGTCAAACGCAAATGTGTAAAGAACATCGAAGTGAACTAAACACGTTCACAAGATCAGTGAGCAAACGCTGTGCAGTCCGAAAGCGCACAATGAGGTCAGGTTAGCCACGTTTGGCCTGCGAGGAGAGGGCGTTGATCCACACTATTTGCCTTCTATTAAGTTGTTGCTATATATTATAAATGTTGTTTTTGGACGTACATAAAATTTGTTGGAACAACAAAAATTCAACACCTCAGAACATGATATGGACACTACCTCACTGACCCAGATTTCGTTACTCCTCACGCAGAGACTCGACGGTCTTCTCGAAGAATTGTAGTAACTGCACGCAGGCAGACTTGGCCTTACAGAGCCAGAATTCTTCGTAATCTCAGTATCATGTCCCCTTTACAACGTGCAGCATTGACTCAGGTAGGCAGCACTTAGATGGAATGCGACAAGAGCTGTTAAGCGGAGAAATCGTAGGTCTGTAGTCTGGTCTAGCACTTTATGCTGGTGATTTTTTCGTACTGTGCAGCTTGGACCTCGTGAAAAGAGTTCAGGAACCATTGTTTATATTCCTCGCCAAGGCAATGCACGGTGATGTTTCTCGCTTCGTTTTTAAAAGCCTGCAGTGACCATGTGAGCTGGATTCAGCTCTTGAACGTGCACTCGTATAGTCATCGCTCAGAAGAAAAACTCAAGTAAAAAAAAGCAAAGTTATATAGCTAGTTGGCAATCAGTTCCGTGGTCTCAGACGCACCCTTCCGAATGAATACACAAGTACCTCTGGAGATTCATAAAGCTGCCCAGTGGGGCGAAAGAAAATCTGTGCGACATACTTACTGCAACAACCTTACATATATGTTGCAGAATGACGATGGCTCTCTAAAAAATAGCTTACAAACTCAGATCCTGATCTCATTCATTCTGCTGACCTGTAGAGTAACATATCGACCGTTTAAGAATGAAAATGTCGAAATGCTTAACAGCGGATGCTAATTGCTCCGCTTCTGGGTAAGCATCTATTTTTTTGGGAGCTTCGAGCGCGTTTCTAGGACTTTCCGGAGAATCTTTACGAGCAGGTATTTGGAAAACATTGGAAGAAAGCAGAACAGGATTGTATGAAGCTACTGCATTATATGCCATGCTTGAAGTAGGGTAGTGCCGTGTGGGGCAACATCATGAACACAGTAGGCCTGTGGATGAATCTCGCCGAAGCTAACCCAACTTTTGATTTGTTCAGGGTCAGGTTATGAACCGGAGCCATCTGGAAAATAAAAACCACTAGCATGCAAATCCGTCGGCTTTCAGCATTCATAGGACTGGCTAAATTAGCATGCAAATGCCATCAAAATTCTGGGTTGAAGCTGAATGCAAAGCGCGCCACAAAAACGGGACTGGCCAGTTTATGGGACCCTTTCATTGCCGGCTTTACAAAACCTACAATAAAAAATCCATCAATGAATCAATGACCGCTTTCATGCTTTTAGGATACAACTTTCAACAGATTATCGATCATTAGTGGCGC